GGCACACAGAAATTTTATCCTTAACTCCAACAAAGAAATACTAATCATCACATGATGTGGATATAGTTCTTATGGGAGTAAAACACAAATAAAATAAAATATCTAATGTGCTGACACAAGAAGCCTTGATGACACAGTTGACAAGAACTCAACTGTCCCCAAATCAAACTCAATGTCATGGAATGGATTCCAACTCATAGCGACCCCACAGATCAGGGTAGGGTTTGTGAGTCTTTAAATCTTTATGGAAGCAGAAAATTTCATCTTTTTTCCCCTTAGTGCTGGTGAGCTAAGGGGACCTTTCAGTTAGCAGTCCAATGCTTACTCCACTGTACCACGAGGGCTCCCTAGAAAACCCTAGATAGCAAAATCAATTCTATTTTATCCTATAGGGCCACTGTGAATTGGAACCCTCTCAATAGCACCTAACAGGTGTTGGCAGACATAGTAAATGGTCAACAGTCATTACGACAATGAAGAGGGTGGAGGTAAAGAAGATTAAGATTACAATGATCTCAATATTCCCATTAAAATAAAATATTCTATGATAAAGGTCACATCTATATTTAATCACATCTACTGATCAGTTTGCCAATAATTAACAGAAACAGAGTTACAGTTTTTTTTTTTTTTCTGTAATTGATCAGATTTAGGGATTATGATTATAGAAATAGAGCTTGATTTTATAATTTCATAATATACAGATGAATCAACCATTCAGGAATCAGGCATTTTGGTACTTATTTCTTTAAAACCAGAACATAATTCATTTGGATATTTGTTGTTGTTTAGTATCATTGAGTTGGTCTGACTCATAGTGGCCCTGTATAGGGTTTCCAAAGAGCATCTGGTGAGATTGAATTGCAAACTTGCAATCTTGTGATTCAAACTGATCTTGTGATCAAGTGCTTAGCCTACAGCACCACACTAGGAATTCCTAGCTACTCTGTAATCTGGTGTGGCACTGTAGAATGAGAGCTGGACCGCAAACCACAAGACTGGAAGTTCAAACTCACTAACTGCTCTTGGAAACCCTAGATAGGGTCTCTATGAGTCAAGACAAAATGATTTGAAATACATATTGACAAAACCCAATTAGAACAGATGTTCAATAAATTAGAACTGACACCAACAATAAAACACCAAGTGAAAGAGGTTTGTGAATATGATTTGCTTTATGAATTTACAATATTTTACATACAAAAAACTTCATAATTATATATATATATA